GACAGTTTTTTGAGAGACTTAACTCTCAGAGAACTTCATTCTTAACTCTCTGGACCTCTCAGAGAACTCTGTACCTCTCAGAGAACTCTCTCTACCTCTCAGAGATCTCTCTCTACCTCTCAGAGAACTCTGTACCTCTCAGAGAACTCTCTCTACCTCTCAGAGATCTCTCTACCTCTCAGAGATCTCTCTCTACCTCTCAGAGAACTCTCTACCTCTCAGAGAACTCTCTCTACCTCTCAGAGATCTCTCTACCTCTCAGAGAACTCTGTACCTCTCAGAGATCTCTCTACCTCTCAGAGATCTCACTGACAGCTTTGTGAGGTTGAATTACTGAAAAAATGCAACTGCAACTGCAACTGCAGCTGCAAAATCATATAGAACAGAATTTCCGATTTCAATTCAATAATAGAGGCTGATCAGATAAACGAATCTGGAGGTAATCAAGAGCTACAGCTGGAAATACAGCTAGAATTGAAAGCAAGAATCGATGTCAAGACGGGCAAGGCAACGTGACTTTTCAACTGCTTTTTGTTCGCTTTTGTCAGTGTTAAACTGGATTTTGTATTATTGATAAAATGCTCAAAAAATCGCTTAACTTAATAATTTTCTGTATTCCAATGTAATTTAGAAAGAAAAAAAAGGAAATTGGCCGAGACGGGAGTCGAACCAGGGCGCTTTGGAGCCGTAGCCGAGCGACTTGGCGATACACCACGTTGATCTTTTGACCGGTGGCGAAAAATCGACTGAGGAGGGACTGGATCACGTTTAAGAGCCATCTATTAGGACCGAGTGCCAGAAGGCAAGCGATTGCGCGCGCGCACAAAGAACACCGGGTTTCTCTTGTTTTGGTATTCAGCTGTTAAGGCCCTTTGAAGAGGGTTAGATCAACCCCGTTGTGGTGCAATGGTTGACGCGGTAGACCGGTGAGCGAAAGGTTGCCGGTTCGAGTGCGGTGACGGCAAAGACAGTTTGCTCTGCCTTAGTTTCAACTTCAACTTTTCAACTTTTTTTGTTTCCTAGCATTTTCGGGAACGGGGAATCGATTGGAGATGTAGATTTGAGTCTACCTCGAGCAAAAGTCATAATGTAACTTCAAATCAAATCCCCAATTCACCATTTCAACCTCGAAACGGCAAGTTTATCATTTCATTTTCATTCATTTTCTCTCTTTTCTTTATCATTTGAACTCTCTAGCTCTCTAAAACATTGTTTTCTTTCATTTTTTTTCTTTCAAATCAAGATACAGCTAATTTCTTTTGTTTTTAAATGTTTAAATAGAAAGAAAGAAATATTCTAATCATTATAATTTATTATTTTGAAAGATATTCTTGATATAGCTAAGGATTAAGATAAAGAATTCGATTTTAAAGATTCCATTGACGAAAAAACAATGATTATTAAATGTAAAGCTGGATCAGAAACTGGATCAGAAGCTTGATCAGAAGCTTGATCAGAAGCTTGATCAGAAGCTGGATCAGAAGCTGGATCAGAAGCTGGATCAGAAGCTGGATCAGAAACTGGATCAGAAGCTGGATCTGAAGCTGGATCAGAAACTGGATCAGAAACTGGATCAGAAGCTGGATCAGAAGCTGGATCTGAAACTGGATCTGAAACTGGATCAGAAGCTGGATCTGAAGCTGGATCAGAAGCTGGATCAGAAGCTGGATCTGAAACTGGATCTGAAACTGGATCAGAAGCTGGATCTGAAGCTGGATCAGAAGCTGGATCTGAAGCTGGATCAGAAGCTGGATCAGAAGCTGGATCAGAAACTGGATCAGAAGCTAAAGCTGGATCTGCACCTGAATCTAAAGCTGAATCTTATCATCAATCTTTTTTTAAAATTAACAACAAAGCTTAAGAATCTCTTGATTTAAAGGAGTGCAATGAAGCAGATTAATGCAATCAAGTGCACTTGATTCAATCAACGAAAAAAAGAAAATTTAGGACTTGATTGGAAGCTAGTTTGAAAGAAAAGAAATAAAGAAAAAGAAATAGAAAAAGAAATAGAAAAAGAAACAGAAAAAGGAATAAAGAAAAAGAAATAGAAAAATAGTTGAGCTTCGTTCTTGAGCGGTTTGAAAAGGTTTCCATCTGTGAAATGAGGTTAAAACATCGAAAAGTCTCGAAATTGTTTAGCTTTTAAGTTTAGCAAGCTCGGCAAGTGATCTTCCTTGACTCTTTGCGTTGATGATCGCTTTCACAGCTGATGATCACTATGATGATGATCACTATGATGATCAGCAATCAGCATAGTACATTTTCCTTAAAAAAAAAAGCGACTAAGCGATGGTTCTCCATTACTAAAAAGCTCTCTGAGCTCTCGTAGATTAAAATGAATTTTTTTTAATGTATGAATTCCGTAATTGTTATCTATTTGAGTAATTCATACATCAATTTGTCTATTGAGAAATCAAGAATGAAATCTCCTAAACATCTTACTCTTGCTGTTATTGTAGCTTGGCCTACACCAGGCATAGTTGGCAAAGTCTTCACTAGATCAAATATTGGGTTGGGGAGAATGAGTCGGCGACGAAAATGAAAAAAATGTCTAGCAGACTTCGTCAAATAATATGCGTTTGATATCAGTAGAGAATGGTTAACTAATTCTCTACAAAATCACATTTAAAAGAAAATTCAAACAGCGCCTCCGCTCAAGAAAAAGCCATTTTTTCACAAAAACTACAAACTGTGATCTAGAAAAAACCATTGGTGGGATCTTCCTGCAAATTTGGCAACTTAAGTAATTGAATGTGCTCTATCTTTTTTATATAAACACCAAAGAAGGTTTATGTGAAAGAAACTGTTCAAATGATGAGTCGGACTCTTTGCCATTTTAACCAGCTGCGTTTCGAAGTTCATAAACTCGACGAAAGAAAAGCTTTGTGGAATCTCTCAAAAGTGATTTTGTAGAGAAATAGTGGATCCTTTTGATGAAACCAAACGTATGTTTAAAGAAGGCTTTATGTGTACAAAAAGTCCCTTTAAAGTTTGACGCCGACTCATTCTCCCCAACCCAATAGCTGGATCAGGCTTAAGCTTAGGCTAGGCTTAGGCTAGGCTAAGCTAGGCTAGGCTAGGCTAAGCTAGGCTAGGCTAGGCTTGGCTAGGCTAAGCTAGGCTTAAGCTAGGCTAGGCTAGGCTAGGCTTGGCTAGGTTTGGCTTGGCTTAGGCTAGGCTTAGGCTAGGCTAGGCTTGGCTAGGCTTGGCTTGGCTTAGGGTTGGATTAGGCTAAGCTAGGCTTAGGCTAGCTAGGCTTAAGCTAGGCTAAGCTAGACTAGGCTTAGGCTAGGCTAGGCTAGGCTTAAGCTAGGCTTGGCTAGGCTTAGGCTTAGGCTAGGCTAGGCTAGGCTTAGGCTAGAGAGATAAGGAACCAAATTCAGAGAGATAAGGAACCAAATTTGTAGGCTTATCCAGATTATCAAGACCTTCTAGATTCCCAGCTCAAACCATAATTCAAGCCAATCCCTCAAGAATTTCCCAAGACTCCCTCAACTTTTCCCTTAACGAGTCAGAGAAAGATGGAATAGAATCAGAAAAACACATCAAACTTTCACCCCCGCTTTCACCCATCAAACTTTGCACACAGACAAAAGTCGAGGACATCCACCTCCCCTTTCCCCCTCCAGAGTGCCATTCCAGCTTTCTAAACGTTTTTCCTCTTTTTCCAAAAAACGAGTTTGATGAATGCTTTTCTTTTTGCGTTTTTGTGCGTTTTTTTTGAATGGAAACGGCATTTCACTCTTGTCCTTGCAAACCTTGAGCTTCTTGATTGATTCACAAGGTTGTGAAAGCTGACAACTGATGGAAATCTGCCAACACCAGAGTCTAGTGATCAGTTCCAAAAACTTCTTCTACAATCCAGTAATTCTCCTAAAGTAATACTCTAGTTTCATTCAGAAAAAAAGCCTTTTTGCATAGTAATAATGAACGTTTTTGTTTAGAGAATCATTAAAGAAAGAAATTCAGAAATTTAAAGAAATTCAGAAATTTTAAAGAAATTCATCAAATTCTAGTTGCACTGTGAGGTTTTAAGTTTAACTGTTAAGTTAAGCAAGGATTGTTGAGTTCAACTGCTCGATGCGGAGTCGAACTCAAGCAAAAAGTGGAGGAGGCTACTTTTAATATTTCTATTTAAGCCTCTTATCCACTGCGCCATTGGATCGTAGCAGCGTGGTGCGAGAGAAGGTTTATAATCGAGACGTCGAGGGATGGGGGATTAGTTGGGGGGAGGAGGAAGGGAAGGGAAGATCTATTAAGAGTGTGTGCCAGAGAGCGAGCGATTGTTCGCGTGCACAAAGAACAATCTTTCGGGAGAGGGGGAAGTCGATCTCAAATGAAGGGGGTATCTATCTGGAGCATGTGCCAGAAAACGAGCGATTGTGTGCGGGCACAAAGAACAATCTTTCGGGAGAGGGGGAAGTCGAGCTCAAATGAAGGGGGTATCTATCTGGAGTGTGTGCCAGAAAACGAGCGATTGTGTGCGGGCACAAAGAACAATCTCCCGGGAGAGGGGGAAGTCGATCTCAAATGAAGGGGGTATCTATCTGGAGTGTGTGCCAGAAAGCGAGCGATTCTGCTCGCGCACAAAGAACATCTAGCCATCGGAGGTGCAGAAGACTCGATCGTACTGGAGGCTATCTATCGAAAGAACCTGGAGGCTAGCTATCTAAAGCATGTGCCAGAAAGCGAGCGATTGTCTCCCCGCACAAAGAACATTTCGGCATTGATTTTCTCTGGTTTTCTCTTGCTATGATACTAAAAAAAGGGAAATTCAGCTTTAAATTTGTGCCTAGGGTTTTCGAGGTCAGAGAATCGATTGTCAAGGTTTATTTTTATCGCTTTAGCTGTGTTTTTTGTCGTCTTAACTGCATTCAATCAAAAACTTCAAAGAAAAATATAATTTATTCCAACCACTTGAGCATTTTGAAAGGATTTTTCTGTTTCTGGAAAGATTTTTGTACAGACAAGATAAGATTTGATTTGATTGGATGAAATTAACCGGCAAGAGCGTATCCACCAGGAGCTGGGCCAGCAATTGGTGGAGCGGCCTGGAAAGGGAAATTTTCATATTCGATTGATCACTCTTCTTCTTTTTCAACAAAAGAAGCTTCTTTAGGCCTTAGAATTAGAGATTTCGAAAGATTTCGAAAGATTTAGCTGTTTCTTTAGATAAAAGAAACTTACATATCCTCCACCAGATGGGAAACCTCCTCCTCCACATCCTCCTCCGCATGGAGCTGGTGGTGGTGGTGGTGGAGCTCCACAGCCTCCTAAAATCAATTTATTATATTAAAATAGATCCAGACATCTACAGTAATCATTCCTACAATAGTTTTAAATATCTAGAAGTAGATCTATATTAGCTAAAACAGACATTCAAATGACTAAAAAGCTTGCCTAGCTTGGCTAGCTTCTTTAGCTTTTCTCTAGCTATTCTCTAGCTATTCTCTAGCTATTCAGCTATTCTTTTAAAGCCAGCAGCCAGCCAGCCTCACAGAATATCTAGAGTCTAGATCTAGTTGTACCTCCACATGGTGGTGGGCCTCCACAGCATCCACCACCGCCTCCAAGACAAGCCAAAGTGCTCGAGACAAGAAGAGAGAAGATAACGAATCGCAACATCTGTAAAGGAAAATGATTTTCATAAGTATTAGACTTTAAAGCTAAGAGATATTTAAAGAAAGTGAGAAAAAGAGGAAGCTAAGGAAAGAATTAAGACTATAAAAGACTAAAAGATCTCTGTAAAAGATCTCTGTCACAGCTTTGGTGGATTTAGAGGAAACTCTCAACAACAGAAACTATATTAAAATAAAAGACTCTTTTCTTTTTCCATTTTTTATTTGGCCAAGCCAGTTTTTCTAAAATCGGGTCAGGAAGTTAAAAGTTTAGTTAAAATTGAGACCTCGCTGCGACCCTTCAGCAGTTATTTAATCGCCGATTTTGCCAGCTGACCAGAGAGCGATATGGTCTAGTGGTTAGCGCGCTGGTCTCTAAGGCGGGAGGCTAGAGCAGAGGGCTCGGGTTCGACTTTTTTAGGAGTTCTTTTGGAATTTTTTGATGGAAACACGATGGGCTGGATAAAAGGCTTTGAGTGATAAGTCAAGCTGATAAGCTGATAAGGGCTGCTGATTCAGATGCTGATAAGCCGCTGATTCAGTTGCTGAGAAGATCTACTGATTCAGCTGCTGAGAAGAGCTGCTGATAAGCTGCTGATTCAGATGCTGATAAGCTGCTGATTCAGCTGCTGATAAGAGCTGCTGATTCAGTTGCTGAGAAGCTGCTGAGAAGAGCTGTATGGTGGCTCAGCAGCTGATTAATATTATTAGCTTATCAAATACAAGCTGATTAATATTATTCATCAGTTTAGAAGCCTAGAAAAGCCTAGAAATACAATTTGGATTTGATAATTAATAATAATTAAGAATTCATGATCAAAATAATTCATTAATAATAAGAATTCATGATCAAAAAGCTTTTTAAGGCTGTTGAATCATTGAATAATGATTCAACAGCTTTAAAAAGCCTTAGCTTCGATACGGCTACTGTAAACTGTAAACTACTGTACTGTAAACCAATTCGATCACTAGGGATCATTATCAGGATTACTGTAGCTACTAGACGGCTTACTGTAGCTACTAGACGGCTTACTGTAGCTACTGGACGGCTTACTGTAGCCTCTATCGCTGTGGATTACTGTATTCAGAAAAGCTACGAGAATTCAACCCAATTTCAAGATGAATTTCAATTGAATTGAATCAAATTCGATCGAATAATAAGAATTGCATAGAATCCCTGTATCCCTAAAGTCTTAGGCAAACATTTTCTGCCAATAGAAACACAATAGATCCTTTCTGTCTGATCCTTAAGCAAGATACGCGCCGAACTTTCCATTCTCACTCAAAGAGTCTTGACCTTTGACGTTTCAATGAACTTCTTCTTCTTCTTCAAAAAAAACTCGTTACGTTAAAGCAAATGACACAATGATTACCTCGAATTTGAGTGAAAGTGTTAATGGAAAGTTGAGAGACTTCAGCGAGACGCTCAAGGACTTCTTGACAAAGAAAAACTTGCTCGAGAAAGCTTTTGAAGAGATTGCCTTGCTTTTGCTGAGATTGCTGAGGTTGCTGAGGTTGCTGAGATTGCTGAGTTGCAAATGCTCTCAAGAATAGCTACTATAGCTAGCTAGTTACTTTACTCAGAAACTCAGCTAGTTACTTTACTCAGAAAACTACTTAAACTCTATAACTTTATTGCTAAGAGGAATAGAGAGCTCTTTAGAGAGAAAACTAAAATAGATCCTCATTCTAGGGAATCGAACTCGTTCTAGGGAATCGAACTCGTGCCAATGAGGGGAGAGGATTGAGAGACTGGCACACTACCATTTGACCATTCAATGACCTCTTTAAGCACCGATAATAGCCCTTATAAACTCATATGGACTCATTACAAGTCATAAGGACTCATTAAAAGTCATATGGACTCATTACAAGTCATATAGACTCATTAAAAGTCATATGGACTCATTACAAGTCATATGGACTCATTACAAGTCATATAGACTCATTAAAAGTCATAAGGACTCATTAAAAGTCATCTGGACTCATTACAAGTCATAAGGACTCATTAAAAGTCATATGGACTCATTACAAGTCATAAGAACTCATTACAAGTCATATGGACTCATTACAAGTCATAAGAACTTATTAAAAGTCATATGGACTCATTACAAGTCATATGGACTCATTACAAGTCATATGGACTCATTAAAAGTCATATGGACTCATTAAAAGTCATATGGACTCATTACAAGTCATATGGACTCATTACAAGTCATATGGACTCATTAAAAGTCATATAGACTCATTAAAAGTCATATAGACTCATTAAAAGTCATAAGAACTTATTAAAAGTCAAATTCCGTCAAGTGAAGCCATGGAAGTGAAGAGAAAGAATGAAATACTTGTATTGTAAAGAGGTAAAGGATTTTACTAAGGATTTAGTGCTATTCTAGCTACTGTAGACACTATTTTGTCTCCTAATAGTGATTAGAAGTGAGAAAGGTTGAGTAGAAAGTTGAATATTTGATTAAAACTAGATACTACGATAGCTTTTTGAAGGTTTGGAATGTTTTGAAAAATCTAGGAAAGGAAAGAAGCTCTAGGCAAACTGGCAGAAGTAGCGAAAGATTCGGGTTTAAATAAACGACTCGCAGAAACAAGAAGGATTTAGGAATGGAAAAGAATTGCGGATAAATGCAATCAGAAATCAGATCCGATCCGGCCATGCCATAAAAGAAAAACATTTGACAGGCTGATCAGATTCTTTTCTTTCTTTCTTCCTTTTCTTCTTTCCTTTTCTTTCTTCCTTTTCTTTCTTCTTTTCGATTCGATTCTTTTCTTCATTGCCATGGCTGTACATGGCAAAAAAACAAGAAATTGACGACCGATCGAGGCTCACAAAAAGCACGTGTCATTTCATGATCACTAGAGAATTGAGAATTGCAGTTAAAGTCAGTGCAAAACAGATTTTACAGCTTACAGAAGTTTAGCTTTGAAAATAAAGATCTCCAAACGATTCCCCGTCCCCAAAAACCTTAGAAAACAATTTCACAGCTTACAGAAGCTTACAGAAGCTTAATAGAAGTTTAGCTTTGAAAATAAAGATCTACAAACGATTCCCCGTCCTCAAAAACCTTAAAAAACAATTTTACAGCTGAATATCTACTAAAAAACAAAAATTACTGGCAGAGAGATTACTGGCAAAATGTTCTTTGTGCGCGCGCGGAATCGCTCGCTTTCTGGCACACGGTCTTAATAGATACCTGTTTCCTTTTTTACTTGAGTAATCAGTTTGAACTCACTGGTCCAGATGTGCTTTGGGTGGGCCCGCAATCGCTCGCTTTCTGGCACACGGTCTTAATAGATACCCCTTCCCTTTTCGATCCGAGCAATCGCTTTGTACTTGTCCAATATTCATCATTTCAATGCTCAGTTTTCGATCCTGATTGGTAAATGGCTAACGTTAACGTCTTAGGCTCTCTACAAATTTGGTTCCTTTTCTCTCTAAATTTGGTTCCTTTTCTCTCTAAATTTGGTTCCTTTTCTCTCTAAATTTGGTTCCTTTTCTCTCTAAATTTGGTTCCTTTTCTCTCTAAATTTGGTTCCTTATCTCTCTAAATTTGGTTCCTTTTCTCTCTAAATTTGGTTCCTTTTCTCTCTAAATTTGGGCTTCAAGTGCCTAAAAGCCTTAGCTGAGCTTAAGCCTAGGCCAGTGTAAACAGCCAACAACAGCCTAACAGTAAAGCTAAACAGTCAGTGTTTTAGCCTTGTACACTCACACTCAAAAAGCTCGACATTTGCATTGCCTAAATCAGAAAACTCATTTGCAGTGTGGCTAAATTTTATAGAGGTTTAAGCAGGTTGAGGCAGGCTGATCACCGATTGGTAATTGGCAGGCACGATATCAGAAGAAAGAGAACTGGAAACGGGCAAAATCCGATCCAAGCCTTAGCCTTGCTCCTCAAAAAAAACACACGCGGTTCCACCTGCCTGCAGGGTTTGAAAAGAGCCGTTAGCTCGTTAGCTTCAGCCTCAAGGCTAGATTTTTGTCTTTTCTGTTTCTCCAAGCTGTTTATCTCTAAACTTAACCGTTTTCTTTAGCTTTAGATATTTCTATGTTATGTTTTCTTTATCTGGCTAAGGCTCTGGCTCTAGCTCTGACTCTGACTCTGGCTCTGTCTCTGGCTCCGGATCTAGCTCTAGATCTGGCTCTGGATCTATTTTTAAACCCTTAGCTCTTCTTTCAGCTTATCTCTCACCTTTTCTTGATCTAACTCGTGGCTCTGGATCTGCATATTTCTGTCTTCTCTAGATCTCTTAGCTGTCTTTGAACCCTAGCTCTAGACTCTGGCTCTGTCTATATTCATCTATCTCCTTTTCTTAGCTTCTCCTTTCAAACCTCTGTCTAATCTCTATCCTAAGCCTTTATCCATTAGTCTAGCCTCTCCTGCATTCACTAAAAGTCTCAAGGCTTCTATATCTAGCCTAGCCTCTTTGCCTTTACATTCCAGCGCATTCTGTCTCTCTAAATTCCTTTCTCTACCCTCAATCTCTAATTTTCCCATCTACAGGCAGGCAAGGTTGCCATCCCTTGAACCTCCCCCAGGCTCAGCCTGTACCCTACAGGGTACCTCCCAGCCTTCCCACCCATCAACCCTCCCCTTTCATTTCTCCTATATAAGCGAATTTCTCCACCCGATCCTCAGCTTGCTCTCACTTGCAACTCATTCACTTCAGCTAAAATGGTAAGTGAACTCTTTCTTTTGAAAAGCTCTTTCTCTATTTTTCTTTGATTTTATTATCTTATAGCTCTAGGTTTACGTAACATTAAGTTAATATAGCTTTTATGTACTCGTAGTGAACTCTACAGTGCTCGTAGTGGACTCTACAGTACTCGTACTTGATCTAACGGTCGTCCTGTACTCGTAGTGAACTCCACAGTCCTCGTACTTGATCTAACGCTCGTCCAGTAGTCGTAGTAGACTCTACAGTACTCGTACTTGATCTAACGATCGTCCAGTACTCGTCTAGACTTGATCTAGTGGCTCTTTGCTAGGCTTAGATCTAAATCTGAGAAACTCTGAGAAACTCTGAGAAAGATATCTACAACTAAAACCTTTCTTTCTTCAGATGCGATTCGTTATCTTCTCTCTGCTCATCTCGAGCACTTTGGCTTGTCTTGGAGGCGGTGGCGGATGCGGTGGCGGATGCGGAGGCCCACCACCATCACCATGCGGAGGTAGTTTACTCAAAGAGTCATCAATAGACCATCTAGACCATTTTGAATATCTAATTCTCTAATTCAGGAGGCTGCGGAGCTCCACCACCATCACCATGTGGAGGTGGATGCGGAGGAGGAGGAGGTTTCCCATCGGGAGGTGGTGGATATGTAAGTTTCTTTTGATTTTAAAGTAATTTAATATTAAGACTACTGATTGACTTAAAAATTGACTTAAAAATTGATCGATCGTCGAATCGACTGAAATTCTCTTCCCTTTTCAGGCCGCTCCACCAATTGCTGGCCCAGCTCCTGGTGGATACGCTCTTGCTGGTTAATTCCTCTCAATCAAATCAAAACTTATCTTGTCTGTACAAAAATGTTTCCAGAAACAGAAAAAACCTTTCAAAATGCTCAAGTGATTGGAATAAATTATTTTTTTCTTTGTTGTTTTTCATTGAATGCAGTCGACGACAAAAAGACGACACAAAAACACAGTTAAAGCGATAAAAATGAACCTTGACAACGTCTGACCTCGATTCTCTGACCTCGAAAACCCTAGGCACGAATTTAAAGCTGAATTTCCTTTTTAGCAAGAGAGAAAGCAAGAGAAAACCAGAGAAAATCAATGCCGAAATGTTCTTTATGCGGGCAGATAATCGCTCGCTTTCTGGCACACGGTCTAGATCGATACCCTACGGATTCTTTTCGATCGAGTCTTCTACACTCCCGATGGATAGATGTTCTTTGTGCGAGCAGACAATCGCTCGCTTTCTGGCACACGTTCTAGATAGATACCAACGGATTCTCTTCGATCGAGTCTTCTGAACTTCGAATGGATAGATGTTCTTTGTGCGAGCAGACAATCGCTCGCTTTCTGGCACACGCTCTAGATAGATACCCTACTGGTTTTCTCAGAGGTATCCTTTCTGCCGTATTGATAGATAGCTGTTCTTTGTGTGCGAGCAGTATCGCTCCCTTTCTGGCACACGCTCCAGATAGATACCCTCCAGAATCTTTTCGAGCGAGTTTTCTGCACTTCCGATGGATAAGTGTTCTTTGTGCACGCACACAATTGCTCGCGTTCTGGCACACACTCCGGATAGATACCCCAGCTTTCATTTGAAATGGACTTCCCTATCCCGATAGATTGTTCTTTGTGCGCGCGAACAATCGCTCGCTTTCTGGCACACGCTTTAGATAGATACCCTACTGATTTTCTCAGAGGTATCCTTTCTGCCCCATTGAGAGTTAGATGTTCTTTGTGCACGCAGATAATCGCTCACTTTCTGGCACAGGCTCCCGATAGATACTCCCCGGATTCCCTCCCCCGCGCGTCCTCGAGGTGGTCTTTCTGCGGGCGCGTAATCGCTATCCCAAAAGAGAAGTGTTCTTTGTCCGCGCGTATTCGCTCTCCATCCATGGATCTTATCAATATTTTATTTGTTTTCATGTTTGTTCCTTATTTTATTCCTTTTATTTGTTTTTCTCTCCATGAATCAATATTTTTTGAATAATCTTGTTTTCTTTTCTTTCTGGATAATCTTTCTTTTCTTTTCTTTTCTTGAATAATCTTTTTTTTTTCCTCAGTCCGCAGTCTCCAGTTCAAGTTTTCTTTTGCTTTTTTTTGAGGTAATTGATTTCCATTTCAAATACAATCGAACCTCGATAACAAAAAAAAACTCAAAGAATTTCGAAAAACCTTTTTTGTTATCGAAATTTTCCCTCATAATGCTAAGAAATGCTCACTGTGCATTTCTCTCTGATTTCTTTCACTTTATCGTTTGAATAAAGTATTATTATTATTATTATTAAACAAGTAAAGAATGTAGAAAAAAATTCGATACTAGTTGGCAAGTTATAAACGATCGTTTTTTCGTAATGTGTTTTCGGAAAAAGTGGCTTATCCAATCAAAAAACGATTTGCTTCATTCAAAAGCCCTATCCTTAATCTACAAGCTGGCTTTTTTTTTTTTAATGTTTTTTGAAAAACAAATGCAAAAAGTGTTTAAATTAAAATTTTGTAATGCAAATTTTTAAGCAATCTCAGCAGAGAGAAAGATTTTAAACAAAAATATTACAAAAAATTATCACAAAAAATTTTTTACAACAAAATTTTTACCACAAAAAAACAAACATTGAAATCAAGAATATACACGTATTTTTTTTGGGTTGGGAATTGGGGAAATTTGGAAACGAAAATTTGAAGTTTATAGGCTTGTACTTGTGGCTTGTGGCTTGTGGCTTGTACTTGTGGCTTGTGCTTGTGGCTTGTGGCTTGTACTTGTACTTGTGGCTTGTACTTGTACTTGTGGCTTGTGGCTTGTACTTGTGGCTTGTGGCTTGTACTTGTGGCTTGTACTTGTACTTGTGGCTTGTGCTTGTACTTGTTTTGGGGTTGGGAATTGGGGAAAATTTGGAAACAAACAAAACAAAACAAAATTTTAAGTTTTTCAAAATACGAGAAATACTTTTCATGTTATTGACTTTAAAAAAAAAATTTCTGTTTATTTTTTCATTTCGATTTTTTTGCTCTAAACAATCCTCAATTTTGATATAATGTGTTCAAGCCGAGTCGCCGTAATGGCGGAGCATTTGACCAGTCTAGCGTTGGCCTTGTCGCCAGATTCATTCGGCTACCGTACTCCTCGATGATGTCGATTGATCTAGATTTGATTGTAGATTAGAAATGGAATGTAGAGCCGGATTTTGGAGGACTTGGACTTGTACTTCTGGCTTGTACTTGTGGCTTGTACTTCTGGCTTGTACTTCTGGCTTGTACTTGTACTTGTGGCTTGTACTGGTGGCTTGTACTTCTGGCTTGTACTTCTGGCTTGTACTTCTGGCTTGTACTTGTGGCTTGTACTTGCACTTGGACTTGTAACTTGCACTTTCCCGTATCCAATAAACAGCCACTGTTAAACAATTTTGATTGTACTGGTTTTTTAAACCCTAAATTGATTCACTGCTCCCCTTGGATTACTATAAAAAGAATGGGAATTGATAGAATTGTTTTGAAGCAAGTTTTGCGGTCTATAGCCTAAGCTTAAATCTAACCCCAACCAAGCCTAAGCCAAAGCTAAGCCTAGGCCTAAGCTTAAGCCCAAACCAAGCCCAAACCAAGCCTAAGCCTAAGCTCAAGCCCAGCCTGAGATTGAATCAAAGTGAGAAATCAAGATCTCTATTGATTAGTTCAATAGGTTATCAATACTAGATTACTCTAGCATCTCTGTACTAGTTGATGTACTTGATGTACTAGATGTACTAGTTGATGTACTTGATGTACTAGTTGATGTACTAGATGTACTAGATGTATTAGTTGATGTACTAGATGTACTAGATGTACTAGTTGATGTACTTGATGTACTTGATGTACTAGATGATGTACTATTTGATGTACTAGTTGGTGTACTAGTTGGTGTACTAGTTGATGTACTAGCTGTACTAGTTGTACTAGTACTAGATGCGTATTTGTACTAGTTACCGTAATTGAGTCAAGTGTCAAAACCGGCTGGTCACTGTTAAAGAAATGAAAAGTAAAAAGTTTGCAAGCTGAATCGAACCCTCGAGCCTCTGCTTGCCTTCTGCTTACGAGGCTAATGCTGTGACAACAATGACAAGCCAGTTTTGACGCTAATGCTCTACCATAGAGCCATCGGAGCCTGGTTTACTCAAGAAGAAAAGAAAATTTACCTATCAGACGTTCTCGATAGATCCGATCGATTCGAGGAAACCGTGCAATCGGTGACTGATCTAGAAGGGACTCGTTGACAAGAAACCTCTCCATTTTTCCAATATCTAAACGTTTGTTGCTTTATCCGATTAAAATCCGATTTCTATTACCTTTTATACAAATTTCTCAATAGAGTTAAAATGAAGAGAAACGAGAGAATCGTGACGAGAATTGTGGCGGTCAAAATCGGCACGAAAAGAGCGTTATCGATGCAGGTTTTGCTTGGGTCACGCCATTCGACTAAAGACATAGATATAGATATAGATATAGCTGGCTAACGTTAAATGTGAGGTAAATGATTCAATCTGGGCGCACTTTGTGCTTCATTACACTCTAGTAAACAAAGTTTCTGGCAAACCAATAAATGATTGTTAATTTGGTCAGAAAACACACAAAAGCCTTAAAATCTAATATAGTTATAACATTTAAAATCAAAAATTCAAAATCAAGTTTCACTTCCGGGGGTCGAACCCGGATCCTATGGCTTCCAGGCCACCACGCTCCCGACTGCGCCATGACGACCATCAGACCCCTCGGAAAAAAGCTGCTCTTAACCTGCTCTTAGCCAGAGTTTAACCAGATTTCTCTAATTTCTATGGCTGGTTAAACATTAAGAAGCTATTAAAAAGGACGATTCACAATGCTTGGATGGTCAAGTGGATAAGAGTCTTGTTTCTAAAGGAATCGGTTGAAATTTTTGCTCAGGTTCGATTCCTTTCTTTGCATTTCTTTGTATTTTGATGTTTAAACTGTTTGACTTTCGATTTATTTAATAGAAAACCTTCGCTTATCTCCCGATTGGTCAAACGAGAAGCTTCACTTGGAAGGAAAGTGAGATCCGGAGAAACAACCTCAATGAAACGATCATCTCTGAAATTTCTTCAGGATTACTGTAGTTTGGTTACTATAGTTTCCTATAGATTCCTATAGATTCCTATAGTTTCCTATAGTTTCCTATAGACCCTATAGATTCCTACCGTAATCGTCTATTAAAAGCTCGCTCTTCTAAGCGTTGTGCTTCTCTTGAACGATTCAACAACAAGAATGAAGGTGTTGAGTTCTGGAAGTTGATTTAAAGTTGGTTTAAAGTTGGTTTAAAGTTGATTTCTTTGGTTACTTTAGATTTTTACCTTCTCTGTTGTTGTTTGTACTGGTTTATTCATCCATTTTACAGTACTTACAGTACTTTTCGGCTTTTCTTTTGTCTTTTCATCTTCATCGGATTCATTTAACTGAAATAAAGCTTTGAATAACCATTGAAGAGCTTCTTTTACTGGTTTTGGCTCTTTTCGTCGCTCGAAAGGCATCCGAAAGGTCGGCGGCTCTTCGGGCACTTGTGGAACTTGTGGAATCAATGCTGGAAGTCGTGGCTGCATCATTGAACCACCTAAACACTTTGTAATTACGAGAAATGCTAACAAACTAGCTAACAAACTAGCTAAGCTAACAGTTAACAGTTAACAGCTAACCAGTTAACAAGCCAGCTAACAAACCAGCTAACAAACTAGCTAACAAATCAGCTAACCAGCAACCAGCTAACCAACGAACTAACCAGCTAACCAACCAGTTAACAAACCAGTTAACAAACCAACTAACACACTAGCTAACAAACTAGCTAAGCAACCAGCTAACTAACCAGCAACCAGCTAACAAACCAGTTAACAAACCAGTTAACCAACCAGCTAATAAACCAATCAACCAACCAATAAATGAAGATCTTTAGATCTTTTCATTATCTTCATTCTATTCATTCTATTCATTATTCAGTATTCATTATTCAGTATTCATTATTCAGTATTCAGTATTCAGTATTCAGTATTCAGTATTCAGTATTCAGTATTCATTATTCAGTATTCATTATTCAGTATTCATTATTCAGTATTCAGTATTCAGTATTCATTATTCAGTATTCATTATTCAGTATTCATTATTCAGTATTCATTATTCAGTATTCATTATTCAGTATTCATTATTCAGTATTCAGTATTCATCATTCATCATTCATCATTCATCATTCATCATTCATCATTCATTATTCAGTATTCATTATTCAGTATTCAGTATTCAGTATTCATTATTCAGTATTCAGTATTCATCATTCATCATTCATCATTCATCATTCATCATTCATCATTCATCATTCATTATTCAGTATTCATTATTCAGTATTCAGTATTCAGTATTCATTATTCAGTATTCAGTATTCATCATTCATCATTCATCATTCATCATTCATCATTCATCATTCATCATTCATTATTCAGTATTCATTATTCAGTATTCAGTATTCAGTATTCATTATTCAGTATTCAGTATTCATCATTCATCATTCATCATTCATCATTCATCATTCATCATTCATTATTCAGTATTCATTATTCAGTATTCAGTATTCAGTATTCATTATTCAGTATTCAGTATTCAGTATTCTTTATTCATTATTCAGTATTCATTATTCATTATTCATTATTCATTATTCAGTATTCATCATTCATCATTCATCATTCAGTATTCATTATTCAACCTATACCATTCGCCACAGATTTTTATGCTGATTCCGAATATATATTTCGTTTTTGCTAAATGACAATCTACCAGGAGTTATAAGCGTCTAAACTCGTTCGTTTCGTTAGAACTCTGAAAATGTGGCCATTTGGGTCTTAGCGGTCTTAGCACTTGGGTCTTAGCTCCTTGCGGACCCACTCGGTACAACCGTGGCAGAATGGTATTCAGTATTCAGTATTCAGTTAACCATCTTTATATTTAAAAACTGATACAGATAAACATAATAAAATGTAACAATAGTCTTCTTGAAAAAACAAAAACCCAACCCGGAGCCGAACTTGTGACCCCTCGCTCTAGAAACGAGCACTCTACCAATCGGCCACGACTCCAACAAGTCGAGACCGCTAGGAAACCGTTAAGAAGACCGCGAGACCGAAATCGCTACAAAGTCCTGACAAAACTTTAAGCCCTTATCACTTCTGATAGATCGTCGTTTGATAAAAACGGAAAACAGATTCGGAATCAGCGTGAAATTCTGCGTTTAATGGTATAGAGCGCGTAGCATTTCGCCAAATGAAAAGCATTCAAATTTGGTTCCAAATGACCGCAGAGTCCTAACAAAAGTTTAAGCCCTTATAACTTTTGACAGATTGTCATTCGGTAAAAGCGGAATATATATTCGGAATCAGCGTGAAATTCTGCGTTTAATGTTATAGATTTCATCAGAGTTTCCCTCAGCCAATTCACTTTCCCGGTCAGTTAACTGAATTTTTAGACCCCGTTTTTGAACACTAATTTTCTCTCTTTAAATTTAACTTTTTCAAAAACTTTTTTAGCCATTTTGTAGCCAAGAAAGAAAGGTTTATTTTGATATAAAAGTTTAATTGATTTGATGGTTTAGTTTTTGAGAAATTTCATTTTTTCTATCGGTGGATGAAAGTTGTAAAGAAATTTCTTTCTACCGTAGTATACTTGTCTTTTTTTAGGAGTACTGTAAGAGTACTGTGAGTACTTAGCCTCTTTAAGTATCCATTTATCCATTAGCTAGCTTATTTTACAAGTTTAAAGGTGAACTCTTGGCTTACCAAGTTCAGCGACGGCGATCACGTCGGATGGGAGTGCGGCGATGACCTTTAAAGTTGGATAATGAAGAAATATTGTGAAATATCAGAGCCAAATCTGTTCTAGCTTTTTCCTAAGACTTATCAACACCTCTTTTCTTCATTTAAAAGCTTTATAAACAGACTTGTGTTGGGATTGCTTTTGAATCGACGACTGACTGTAATTTCATAGCTACCGGCTCGTACACCCGATAGCTATCGTACAGCTATTGTACAGCTATCGTCCAACCATCGTACAGCTATCTTACATACCTTTCTATTAGCTTTCTCCTAATACTAATCGCTAGAGTTGTAATGAAAACATCTGTCGGTTCTCTTTTTCTCGCGGCCGTCAGTTTTTCATCTTTTTCTTAGCACCTAGGCTTTAATTTTAACGGCTTTAACTATCATTCGATCGAAAACAAAATTTCACGTCGATTGATACCAAAATCACCTCAAAATCTAAGATCCATGCAAAGTTATGTGGCAAAAACCAAACCCCGCCCCTTATTAGCCTTTTGCCATTGTCGGCCGTCAGTTTTTCATCTTTTTCTTAGAACCTAGGCTTTAATTCTGACTGTTTAAACTATCATTCGATAGAGAACAAAATTGCGCATCAAATGATACCAAAATGAACTCAAAATCTAATACCTATCCAAAGTTATTAGCTGAAAACATTGGCTTAATGCTTTCCCTCATAACTTTGGATGAATACTAGATTTTAAGTTCATTTTGGTATCATTTGATGCGCAATTTTGTTCTCTATCGAATGATAGTTTAAACAAGCAAAATGAAAGCTTTAGTCCTAAGAAAAAGACGAAAAACCGACACTCGACAATGGCAAAAGGCTAATAAAGGGCGGGGTTTGGTTTTTGCCACATAACTCTGCATAGATATTATATTTTAAGTTCATTTTGGTATCATTTGATGCGCAATTTTGTTCTGAATCGAATGATAGTTCAAACAAGCAAAATGAAAGCTTTAGTCCTAAGAAAAAAAGATGAAAAACTAGTAGTACAGTAGTCTTTTCTTGATTTAAAGCTTTATAAACAGACTTGTGTTGGGATTGCTGTTGAATCGACGACTGACGTCGGCAAGTAAACTCGACCACCAAGATTTGGACAATTTGGAGGCTAAATTTGGCTAAATCTTTTCAAATTACGAAAGTTTATCGATATTATAGCCGTAAATACTGTAGTAGCACCCCAACAGCATAATGACGGTGCGGAGCGTCGCGTAGCTCTAGCTTTGGAGGCGTTTTTCTCGACACGATGCGGGGCGTCGCGTAGTCTAGCTTTGGAGGAGTTTTTCTCAACACTGGTTTATGCTACAATGTTCATTTTGGTATCAAAAGATAGCCCTGAATTCCAGCTTTCATTTGATACCAAAATGAACATTTTAGCTTAAACCAGTGTTGAGAAAAACGCTTCCAAAGCTAGACTACGCGACGCTCCGCATCGTCATTATGCGGGTGGGGTACTATTATAGTAGTTGTGGTAGCTATTTTCTAGATTTAATGTTTAGAAATATTTACCGTAACCCCTTGGCACTCGTTGTAGTCCAGTTCGCAGTGTTTTATTTGACAACGAACGCTGAAATTTAGAGAGATTTTCAATTTTCGTTTATTTTTTTTTTTTTAGAGAACTATTTTTCATTATATGCTAATTTTTAATAGAAAATTACTATGCTTTATCGATATCTCGAATCGAATAAGCCCGCACTTCTGCGTACGCCGTTAGAAGATCCGATTGATAAACGAGCGGGTTCATAAAAGGCACGAGTGGACAACTGGAATTTGAACAATTAGTTTTAAGCAGATTTCTCAGTGTTTACAGCGTACAGTCGCGTAGTCGCTACTGTTTTTGCTGAGTATCTCGTCGCAAATTCAATATCGTTAAACAACAACTCGCTTTTGGCTTTTGGCTTTTGGTGGATTTTTGTTTTTGATGATTTTAGATGACTTTAGATGACTTTAGACGAGGTTTAGATGACTTTAGATGACTTTAGACGAGGTTTAGATGACTTTAGATGACTTTAGACGAGGTTTAGATGACTTTAGATGACTTTAGACGAGGTTTAGATGACTTTAGATGACTTTAGATGACTTTAGACGAGGTTTAGATGACTTTAGATGACTTTAGATGACTTTAGACGAGGTTTAGATGACTTTAGATGACTTTAGATGACTTTAGACGAGGTTTAGATGACTTTAGATGACTTTAGACGAGGTTTAGATGACTTTAGATGACTTTAGATGACTTTAGACGAGGTTTAGATGACTTTAGATGACTTTAGATGACTTTAGATGACTTTAGATGACTTTAGATGACTTTAGATGACTTTAGATGACTTTAGATGACTTTAGACGAGGTTTAGATGACTTTAGATGACTTTAGACGAGGTTTAGATGACTTTAGATGACTTTAGACGCGGTTTAGACCGCTTTAGATGTCTTTAGACGACTTTAGACGACTTCTAGATTCAGACTCTAATTCCGTCATCGACCTCCCTTCCCGTCAGTCACTTTTTCGAATAACGAATTTAGTAAAATGTAAACATAATCGAGTTTTGTTTAAAAATCGAGCTTATTTCAACTCCTGCAGTGCTTTCATTGACGATTCTTTTTTTTATAAACCAGTTTTGAGAACGCTACTTGCTAGCTTAAAAGTCTTCATAAGATTGAACACACTCAAGATACTATTCGCTGGGTCAGGAAAAGACCAGGGGAATGCCGGAAGCTAGCCTGGCCAATGTAAAGTTCTTGGCTTGGCTTGGACCTGGCTTGGCTTGGACCTGGCTTAGCTTGAACCTGGCTTGACCTTGACTTTTTTGGTGTACACAGCCGTTAATTTTATTCAAATTGCGTTTTTTTCTTCAATCTGGATGTCACACTAGAATTTTTATGATTTTGATTTTTGATTTTCACTAAAAAATTGTACTCGATGATGTCCTGCTAAGAGTTCGAGATGATTCCGAAAAATTGATAAGAGCAGTTTGATTTTAATTGCGTTTTTTCTTCTATCTGGATGTCACACTAGAATTTTCAGGATTTAGATTTTCGATTTTCACCAAAAAAAATTGTACTCCGTAATGGAGAGCTAAGAGTTCGCAATGATTCCGAAAAATTGGTAAGAGCAATTTAATTTTAATTGCGTTTTTTCTTCTATCTGGATGTCAGACTAGGAGTTTTAGGATTCAGATTTTACTTGGAATCAAGAAAATTGTACTCGATGATGGACAGCCAAGAGTTCGAAGTTATTCCGAAAAATTGATAAGAGCAGTTTGATTTTAATTGCGTTTTTTCTTCTATCTGGATGTCACACTAGAATTTTCAGGATTTAGATTTTCGATTTTCACCAAAAAAATTGTACTCCGTAATGGAGAGCTAAGAGTTCGCAATGATTCCGAAAAATTGATAAGAGCAATTTAATTTTAACTGCGTTTTTTCTTCTATCTGGATGTCACCCTAGAATTGTTTTGATTCAGATTTTAATTTTCATCAAAAAAATTGTACTCGATGATGGACAGCTAAGAGTTCGAAGTTATTCCGAAAAATTGATAAGAGCAGTTTGATTTTAATTGCCTTTTTTCTTCTACCTGGATGTCACCCTAGAATTGTTTTGATTCAGATTTTGATTTTCACTAAAACATTCATACTCGATTTGCCTTATGCCTTACTTCCGCATTTTTTGGCATACACAGCCGTTAATTTTATTCAAATTGCGTTTTTTTCTTCTATCTGGATGTCACACTAGAAGTTTTCGGATTCAGATTTTGATTTACACCACATTTGTTATTAGAATGAATCCGGTGCACTCACCCGCGTCCATCGATCAACTCGACCGTCGTCCCAGCCGCAATAATCGCACATCCCCTAATCAGCATTCCGAGTTTTCGAGTGGGAAACGGTTTACAATCCCAACGATAGAAAATCTTCTCGCCGACTGTTAACAGATCGACTGGTGGGCCATCGAAAGAATCGCGGCGAACACTGGAGAGAGAAAAGGGATTGTAAGAATTGTAAGGATTGTACAACTGTAAGAATTGTAAGAATTGTAAGGGTTGTACAACTGTAAGAGTTGTAAGGATTGTACAATTGTAAGAGTTGTAAGGGTTGTACAATCGTAAGAATTGTACAATTGTACAATTGTAAGCACCGCTTTAGTTTTCCGCTTTAGTTTTCTTTATTTTTTGAAGAATTTGCGAAAAGAAAGGATCCTTTTATCAATTACAATTAGAAATTCGAAATAAAAAGAAAAGAAATCTTTTCGGCGGCTTTTTTAAGCTACAAGCTACAAGCTACAATTCTTCGCTACAATTCTTACACAAAATGTAAACGCATCCCATCTAGCGCACTTGATTCTTGAAAAAGAAGACTTTAATGTATTAGAAAGAAACTCAGAAATCAAGATTACCTGAAAGCGCATTCTGGATTCAGCAGTGAGCCTTGTTCAAGATTTTCCGGTGGTCGAGTGCTGGAAAATAAGAAAATTAGGCTTAATTTTGATAGCTTTAAATAAAAGTACAATTATGGTTAGATGCAGAACAAAATTGCGCGTCGATTGATACCAAAATGAACCTAAAATCTAATATCTATGCAAAGTTATGAGGGAAAGCGTTAAGCCAATGTTTTCAGCTAATAACTTTGGGTAGGTATTAGATTTTGAGTTTATTTTGGTATCAATCGACGCACAATTTTGCTCTGCATCCAATGATAGTTCAAACAGTCAGAATTAAAGCTTTGGTCCTAAGAAAAAGACGAAAAACCGACGATCGCCAATGGCAAAAGGCCAATAAATGCTGGAAAATAGTAAAATTAAGCTTAATTTTGATAGCTTTAAATAAAAGTACAATTATGGTTAGATGCCGAATCAAATTGCGCGTCGATTGATACCAAAATGAACATTAAATCTAATATCCATCCAAAGTTATGAGGGAAAGCGTTAAGCCAATGTTTTCAGCTAATGACTTTGGATAGATACTAGATTTTAAGTTTATTTTGGTATCATTTGATGCGCAATTTTGTTCTCTATCGAATGATAGTTTAAACAAGCAAAATGAAAGCTTTAGTCCTAAGAAAAAGACGAAAAACCGACACTCGCCAATGGCAAAAGGCTAATAAGGGGCGGGGTTTGGTTTTTGCCACATAACTCTGCATAGATATTATATTTTAAGTTCATTTTGGTATCAATCGACGCGCAATTTTGTTCTCTATCGAATGATAGTTTAAACAAGCAAAATGAAAGCTTTAGTCCTAAGAAAAAGACGAAAAACCGACACTCGCCAATGGCAAAAGGCTAATAAGGGGCGGGGTTTGGTTTTTGCCACATAACTTTGCATGGATCTTAGATTTTGAGGTG